CGCGGGGGCGGGGGAGCCTGTGAGCTGAGTGGATGGGAGGCAGCAGCTCAGCAGCGGCCTGACCAGACAGGGACCTCGGTGGGGCCTCCATACTGTACGTCACTGAATTCTCTTATGAAGGGCGGGAGGCTGCGTTAACACGTCCTGTTGAAAGGCTCGAACGCATAGACATGCCCATCAAGGGCAGGCAGTGACAGTGCCATTCGACGGAGTCCCTGTGGCCATAGAGCTCAGGCCTGGGTGGTGCTCGGGCTTCTGGGAGTCAGTTGTCAGAGTCAGCAGATCCCCTTTAATGACCTGTCCCTTTGTGTCATTTGCTCTGAAGATCAACACTCAGAAGCAGTGAGCTCTGAAGGGTTCGGGGCCTGGGGGTGGTGTCCTCCAGGGCAGAGCCAGCCGGGCGCCCTCCCGCCTCCCGCTGCCTGCTCAACCAGCCCCCCTCCCTACTCTTCCTGGGCCTCTAGCACCAAACACGTGCTCCGCCACATCCCGCAGTCCTGCTAGTTTCAGCTTCAGAGGCTCCAGCGTTGGGGTTGCACCCCCACACCCCCATCCACCTGTGTTCAGGCGAGCTCTGGGGCGTCTCCACACAAGAGAGGAGGTGTGACCTCTTTTCTGGGACACCAACCCAGACCCCAGCGTGAGCCTAGCACCTGCTGAGTCCCCTCCAAGGGCCTCTTTCTGCAGATTGTGAAAGTGCTTCCACTAAAACCAGACGCCTCACAAAAGCCCCATGACACAGATCAGAATCCACCTGGCTCCCTAGACCTCTCTGCACAGTTCCACACGTAAGGCGAATTTCGGGATTAAGGTGACCTAGGCCACCTGTCCCTTCCCACCAGTAATTTTCCATTCCACAACTATGCATCTCCCCGTTGCCCACGGGGACCTGCCCTGAGCAGCTGTGGTCTGAGGTCAAGGAGGGTCAAGGGGCCAAGCCCAGCTCTAGGAGAGAGACAGCTGCCTGTGAGGCAGAAAGGCGTGAGGGCTTCCCTGGGAAGGAGAGGAGAGCGGCTTGAGTTGGGCCTGCAGGCTGAGGAGGGGCTTGGCAATGGGAGCTGGGGACGCACTTAGCCGGGTGACAAGAACAAATGGACAGTGAGGCCGAAGCCCAGCCTGGCGGTGCAGTCAGTAGGAAACTGAACTGTATTGCTGGAAGCCACGTGGCCGGCCATGGGATCGGATCCCTGGGTCGGCTTAAAAATACACTGGGCATGAGTGGATGGGAGGCAGCAGCTCAGCAGCGGCCTGACCAGACAGGGACCTCGGTGGGGCCTCCATACTGTACGTCACTGAATTCTCTTATGAAGGGCGGGAGGCTGCGTTAACACGTCCTGTTGAAAGGCTCGAACGCATAGACATGCCCATCAAGGGCAGGCAGTGACAGTGCCATTCGACGGAGTCCCTGTGGCCATAGAGCTCAGGCCTGGGTGGTGCTCGGGCTTCTGGGAGTCAGTTGTCAGAGTCAGCAGATCCCCTTTAATGACCTGTCCCTTTGTGTCATTTGCTCTGAAGATCAACACTCAGAAGCAGTGAGCTCTGAAGGGTTCGGGGCCTGGGGGTGGTGTCCTCCAGGGCAGAGCCAGCCGGGCGCCCTCCCGCCTCCCGCTGCCTGCTCAACCAGCCCCCCTCCCTACTCTTCCTGGGCCTCTAGCACCAAACACGTGCTCCGCCACATCCCGCAGTCCTGCTAGTTTCAGCTTCAGAGGCTCCAGCGTTGGGGTTGCACCCCCACACCCCCATCCACCTGTGTTCAGGCGAGCTCTGGGGCGTCTCCACACAAGAGAGGAGGTGTGACCTCTTTTCTGGGACACCAACCCAGACCCCAGCGTGAGCCTAGCACCTGCTGAGTCCCCTCCAAGGGCCTCTTTCTGCAGATTGTGAAAGTGCTTCCACTAAAACCAGACGCCTCACAAAAGCCCCATGACACAGATCAGAATCCACCTGGCTCCCTAGACCTCTCTGCACAGTTCCACACGTAAGGCGAATTTCGGGATTAAGGTGACCTAGGCCACCTGTCCCTTCCCACCAGTAATTTTCCATTCCACAACTATGCATCTCCCCGTTGCCCACGGGGACCTGCCCTGAGCAGCTGTGGTCTGAGGTCAAGGAGGGTCAAGGGGCCAAGCCCAGCTCTAGGAGAGAGACAGCTGCCTGTGAGGCAGAAAGGCGTGAGGGCTTCCCTGGGAAGGAGAGGAGAGCGGCTTGAGTTGGGCCTGCAGGCTGAGGAGGGGCTTGGCAATGGGAGCTGGGGACGCACTTAGCCGGGTGACAAGAACAAATGGACAGTGAGGCCGAAGCCCAGCCTGGCGGTGCAGTCAGTAGGAAACTGAACTGTATTGCTGGAAGCCACGTGGCCGGCCATGGGATCGGATCCCTGGGTCGGCTTAAAAATACACTGGGCACAGGTGTGTGCCCAAGATCCTGACAAGCTGGAGGCCAGGGAAAGGGAATCGCAGCGTGGCGGGACCCTGTTGAGGGTTCTGCTCTCCCCTCCCTCCTCCTATCCCTCCCTCAATTCCTCCCGTATGCGTGAGCACAGGCATGCTATCATGAATGAGATAAACTTCCAAAACATCCTTTTTTGGGAGGGGAGAGGTTTTTGCTATAGGGCACGTGCAGTCGCCAAAAAGACAGAGACAGAGAGACAGAAAGCGAGAAATCATCCCCCAGGATGGCCACGCCACAATCCCTTCTCCTCCATTCTCCTCTCGGGATCTTGGGCGCACACGCACATGCACACACGCCTGGCGTGAGTTTAAGCCACCAGGTCCGGGACTCGAACCGCTATCGACCACATGGGAGTTCAGCAACGCAGCCATTACGCTAACTGCTGATCCCTAAAACATCCTTAATAAGGCCAAGCAAGTGCGCTGGGCCAGGGCAGAAGGTGTCTTGAGGAGATGGTGGAGCCCCTCCCATGGCAGAGAGGGCCGCCTGGTTCTGCCTTTTTCTTGCCTCTGCCCCACTCTCAGTCTGGTCCTCAGAGTGAACCCCAAACCTGAAGTGAGGGCCTACTCATCACAGGGAAGCTAAGACCCTGACTGCCTCAGTGAGTCCCCTTCCGGCAGTCCCTTGTCTAGATGAGACCTTCTAGCCCATGTGTCTGACCCGCAGGGCCTGAAGCGACTCCTCTTGATCAGAGTGGGACAGGCCGCTTTCTTCTTCACCCCTTCCCCAGCATCCATCCTGTGGCCCGCCCTCGCCCCCCACTTTTCCACCAGCTCCCAGAAGGACCCAGAAAAACTAGTCCTCCTGCTGCCTCCCATCCCATCCCCCCAAGAAACTTTTAAGTGCAGCAGAGACACATCGACTGCATTAAGCACGATGAATTTTTAAGGCATGAGTTGGCAGGGTTACCATGGCTGCCTTTGCCCTGAGGGGCACACTGCCGAGGGTTGATTGAAATAAATAAAACAGATTTACAATGTTCATACTTGGGAAGCAGAGAGTTGGAAGAGAAGAGAGTGGGGGGGGAGGTGGCAGGACACAGTGAAACTCCTCCCCCACCCCAAGGTTACCCTGACCCCAAAGCTGCTTTTTCTTTAAGTTCCTAAAGGCTCCCAGCTGTCCGGTCAGGCAGGGAGCAGGCCAGGAGGAGGCCCTCTCCGGTGGGAATGGTTTGGGCCTGCCCCACATTTTCTAGCCTCGATGTTCAGGTTTACTGGCACGAGACTGCAGGTGCGTCCTAGAAGGACACTGGGTCCTGTTGACCTTGACCACTGGGGGTGGGGCTGGGCACCGAAGAAGTAGCCATTTAGAGAGGAAATGAGGGTTCATCCTTCAGTGCCTAGGCCCAGCTTGCTCAGGAAGCCGCGGAAAGTTGGGGACGAAAATGAAGGCAAGAGGCCGGCCCTCAGGGCTTCTGGACAGGCTCCTGGAGCCTGGAGCCTCCTGCCTGTTTGTCCAACCTCTAGGAGGTTCCTGGAGCCAGGACCACCTGCCTTGTCACCATCAGAGCCACAGCCCCCCACCCCTGTCCAGGGCAGGCAGCGGCCAACAAGGGAGCCCGGGACCACAGCTCTCCCCCTAGGCACGCCGTCCACCAAGGAACGGAGCTTGAGATTTGGGCCCTCCTGGGTGGGAGTTGGAAGCCGCAGGGTGGTTGTGACACAGGCAGTGAAGAAGCAGGTGTGGCAGCATTGGGGCAGTCAGGAGAGAGGGCAGAGACCTTCCTGTGTCACCATCCTTGCGGCCCCAACTGACAGGAGGCACCAGGCAAAGGTACCCACACCCCTTGCTTCTTGGCATAGAAGGGTGCCCCGGCACCTGCCCAGGGTGGCAGAATGAAAGGGCTGGATCGCCCTGCCCAGCCTGGACCAGCCAGCCGAGGCTCACTCCTCCACCCGCCCCTCATCGTGGGCAGTTAGCACAGCGAGGCTGGCGGGGCTCGGGCAGAAGTGGGCTGTTCATAGTGACTGGCAGGCGTCGCGGGCCTGGCGGTGGGCATCCCTCATGGTTCTCGGGGTCCCATCTCTCCTCTCCCCAGCAGGCTCGCTGTCCTGCACCGTGCTGGTGGCCGTCTTGTTGGCATGGTGTACTGATTGTCTGGGACAGTGAAGAACGTCCTGGGAGGAAGTAGTCACCTCAGCCTCTGCTGCTCCGTCCCTCCAGTGCCCTTCCCACATGCCAGTGGCCTAGGTGACGGGCAGGCTGTGCCCACCCCTGCCTGAAGGCCCGCTCTGTTAGGCCGCCTAGCACAGGGCATTCCCAAGCCCCAGCCTCTCTCCCTCCCAGGCTGAGCTCACCCCGACAGCCCACCAGGGTTCAGAGGCTCCAAGTGCTTCTGCCTTTTGTCCCTGTTAGTAAGGCCAGGCCTGAGGATGGAGGGGAGGGGAAGAGGGAACATAGCAACTTGTAGCCAGGGAGCAGACGGCGCCCCTCCCGGCTACTCCAGGAGTAGCCAGGGAGCAGACGGCGCCCCTCCCGGCCCCCCCAGGCCTTGCTCCATGTTCTGGCCACCATGGGGTGAGGGGCAGCGTGCCTACCTGGTGACAGACAGGAGTCCTGGAAGGGAACCTCGCGAGCATCCCAAGCAAGTGGCCAAGGGTCCTGGGAGGGATCGGCCGACAGCACAGGTGGGGAGTTGGGGCCTTAGAGGCTGGAAGTGGGGTCACAGGAGGAAGTCTTACCCTTCCTGAAGCCACACGGCAGTCTGACTCCCCAGGTGAAGCGGGGCAGGGAGCCTGCTCAGGTCTCTGCCCCCCAGGGCCCACCCTGGACCTGGGACCCCGGTTCCTCTCCATGTGACTCCCAGCGGTCCCCGACCTGCTCCGCATGCCTCTTCCCAGGCTCCCGGGGTGATCTCTTCTGAAAGGAGCCTCTTACTCTGCCGGGGCCACTCGGCAGGCTCCCTGGGTATACCCGCAGCAGGGGCTGTCCGCCGGGCGAGGCAGTGCTCAGAGGCAGTGTCCACGCAGACACACAGCTTGGGGTACAAGGGCCGTAAAACCACTGGGAGGTCTTGTTCTCCAAACCAGGGCTTGGCTTGGCCTGTGCAGTCCATGGAGCAGATGCCACACAGGCCTTTTTCCAGACAGGGCAGTGAAACAGTGCGGGCTCCCGTCAGCCTCTCCCGTGCCTGTCTCCCACCATTTCTTCCCCTTTTTATTATTTCAAGTTTATTCGCTTTATTCATGAAAGCACATGCCGCGTTCATGGTGGGGGGAGGGGAGCACCCTCAATCTCCCTCCCGCCCTTGCTTGCAGGACAGCCTGGGGATCCAGACCCACAGTCGGCCCTGTGGCTTCCAGCACTGCAGCTCGGTTTGGTACCAACTGGACCACCAAGCTGGGCCCCACCACAGGCCCTCCCCTGCCAAGTCTGGGCCACACCAGTCTAGAGCACCGAGAGACCCTGGGTGTAGATGAGACCAGTGGAGGCCTTTCTTCTCCCACCCTCTCTGGCTCACTTTTCACCTGAGGCAGGGACCATGGGTGGGGCCAGTGGGGACAGGCCGCAGCAGAATATCCAGGACAAGAACCTGCTGCAGGGCAACGGCTGGCCAGTGCCGGAGGTTGAAGGAGTGACGTGAGGCTCACGCCAGCTTGGCGAGTGTGCTTTGTCCTTGGTCTTTCAGAACTGCCCCCAAAAGGGGATTTCTTTTTTTTTATTATTTTGGAGAGGTTTTTGCTATAGGGCACGTGTGCTCGCCAGACAGAGAGAGACAGAAAGCAAGAAATCACCCCCCGGGGGGGATGGCCATGCAGCAATCTCTTCTCCATTCTCCTCTCGGGAGCTTGGGCACACACGCACACAGGCCCGGCATGAGTTTTAAGCCACCAGGTCCGGGACGTGAACTGCAGTCGACTACGTGGGAGTCCAGCGACATAGCCATTACGCTAACTGCTGGTCCCCTCCAAAAGGGGATTTCTACAAGGCAGTCTCATCACAGTTCTTAAGGGAAAGTAACCCGTCTAGGGTGGGGTAGCAGGCACCCCGGGCTGAGGCAGGTTGCTCTCTAGAGCTCCCGGCATGTGACAGAGGAGCCAGCGAGTGACTGTCACTGTCATAGCATGAAACCAGATGTGGAAGCAGCTGTCCAGGCAACAGCCAGAGGCCCAGAAGGGGAGGTAGAGTCAGGCCCACGGGGCTGCGGTCTGCGCAGGGGTGAGGGATGGGTGGCACTGACCGTAGCAGCAACCCGAAGGAGGAGCCCTTCCTGAACAGTCATGCACCCCTCCCTTCTGGCCAC